CGGGGCTCATATCATAGCCTCCGACCATTCCTTTTGAAAAAAAAAAATGTTTATGAAATTAATTTTCTTGTGAATATTGGGTCAGAATATATTTAAAAAAAGTCGAGTTATCATGACCTGGGGCATTTTAAATTTTTAATATAAAATATTGGTCACATATTTATGAAAAAAAAATTTATTTTTCTTGATATTTATGATGCTGCCAAGTCTTTATACTTCATGTAAGAAATATCAAACCCTTTTATTTTTGCTTTTAAAAGACAATATATATATATATATATATATAGTAGGCTTAATGAAGTATACCTCTTTTTCATTATACATTGGTATTTGAACAAGCACCATAGGGTAGACCAAGCTCCCAAGCTCTTCATCATCTTCAATAGGATCACACTTGTATATCTTCTCTGCCTTTCGGCGAAATATTTTGGCATAGAGACTCACAAACCCCATCGTCATTTTCTCTATCATCACCAACACCAACATTGTTAAGCACGCCGCTAATACTACTTTCATTACCGGCAAAACCACAACTTCTCTCATCCACAATAGTGCTACAAAAATGGCCTTGATTGTTGGCAAAATCACCACCTCCCTCATCCATGATAGTGTCATCCATATGTGGGTTGATAGCTTATTCATTGGCACATGAACATACTCATAAGCACGAACTAATGATATTGGGAGAGAGAGGTTATTTGCACCTAAGGCATAAAAATCAAAAAATATTTGTAATCATTATATAACCATAACTAATCAAATGATTATCATATAAAATGTGCCTAAGAGAAAGCTTAATTAACTTTAATTACCTTCCATATTCTTCCTCTCCTCCCTCCCTCCAATGCTAATGTTGAATCTTTGTGGACTTGAAGCTAGTAGGTATTTATATTGTAAACATAGGATTGCTCGGGAGGAACATTAGACCACATGAGGTATCACAAGCCTTGGAGCTCTTCCATCATTGAATTCCTTACTAGTGTTGCTTTACTTTATTATTGAGAAATTATTATTATTTTTTTGGAAGGATGGAAATTATTGCTTAGTTATTGGCCGGTGAAGTGTATGTAATGAAAGAAATATAAATGACATTTCTTCTTTTTTAATTTTTAATGTATTTTTGTAATAATATTTATTAATTTTTTTGGTATTTTTCCATCGATGGATTTATTGGATACTTGTGTAAGATTATATGACAAGTTTAGGATATTAGTTATGATAGATTTTTGGACATTTGCT